CAGTGTTTCCTCTAGGTTTCAGTAAAGGACTTTTTTTTTTTTTTTTTACATCCCAGTGAATGACAGGCATGAGTGTGACTGATAATAAGAAGTGGTTTTAAACAATAGTCTGAGTGGAGCTGTTGCCTTCAGATCAAAGCCACTGCCTCTAATTTCTGTTCCCTTCACTGAGCTGGGGAAGTGACTCCCCAAGAAGGAGGGGTTGGGGAACAGGTCTGAGGAACCTTGTCTCTCTGCAGTACAACTCAATGCAATTCAATGAGCTTGTACTGCCCATCTCATGTGTTGGAACTGGTGTGAAGTAGAGGCATCACTAATGCAGGGAAGGTTGGGCATCAACATGGACAGGACAAGAAAATAGGGAAGAACCTGTGTCCTCAGTTGACTTTTGGGACTGAATCTCAATGCTGGGTACATCCAATTCATTACAATTTATGTAAAACTGCTTTCTGATCCAGAAAATGTCCGGGATTCTTCTGGCTTGGCTTTGGTTCCATTCTGAACAACTCAGTCATTAAAATGAGCCCAGGGGACTTCCCTGTGAGTCCAGTGGTTCAGATGCTGCGCTTCCACTGCAGGGAGCGTGGGTTCAATCCCTGGTGGGGGAACTAAGATCCCTCACGCCAAACGGCATGGTCAAAAAACATAAAAAAATAAAATGAGCCCTGGCTGTTGGCAGAGCGTACAGCCGACCCTCAAGCTCAGCGCCCTCTCAGCGGGCAGACAGGTGCTCTGCAGCCCCTGCACAAGCCGTCCATTGGAAATGGAGGGGGCAGGCCAGGGGGTGGGGGGAGAGAGAAGGAAAGAGCAAACAGGGTCCTTCAACAGGCAAATTGCCATGGACTTCTTGGAAGAAGTGGAGACAGACTCTCAGTAGAATACAAATTCAGAAATCCTGGGAACTTGAAGAAGGAAATAGGAGAAAGCAAAGAGCATCAGTCATAGAGGCAGTTCAAATTCTAGCTCTGAGCATCACTGCTCTGAGTTTCCATTTCTGAGCAGTAAAATTAAAGTAAGGTCACCTATCCCAAAGGGATCTGTTAGAATCAAATGGGATAAAGTATAAGAAAGTACTTTGTAAGTCTAATAAAACTGTACAAATATTCAAGGCCTTGGAGAAAAGGCACAGGGCCAAACCTGATGGGCTGCAGGAGGATTTCCTGCTAAGTACAAATGTGATGATAAAAGTCCAGAGGTCAGAGCAAATAACAAGCTGACCAGGAGTTAGAAGATGATTAATTTGTTTTACAAGAGGAAGGACACAGACAAGGAATATAATACACAGGGAATATAACTCCTGAGGCAGGCAAACTTCCAATCATAACTGTGCCACTCAGATGTCTGGGAATACTATATCCAGAGTTGGCCTTCATGGCCAAAGAGAAATGTGATGCCTTCAAATGCGAAAAACTTCAGTTATTCATCACAGTGAAGGAATTCAGGAGAAGAGACAATAATTGTCTTATTACTGGGACCAAGGAAGATGGAAGCTTCGGAGCCTCATCACGGACCTCATCATGGGAAAGCGTAGATCGTGATTTGTTGGTCGTTCACTGCCCTGTGCAAGCTCAGAACAAAATTAGCCTATTTAACTGCCACCAAAAGTCCTGCAAGAAGTCATTCTTCAGAGGAAGTAACGAAAGTTCAAAGAAGCAAAGTAATTACTCAGGATCACACGGCTAGGAAGTGGCAGAGCCAGGATGTAAACCAGGGTGCAACGTGGTCTTAAAAACAAATTATAAAGGCCAGGATGGAACAAAGTGAGTTTCTGAGAGTAAAAGTCAGCCACACCTCAGAGATAATTTCAGGAAAGATATAATATGACCTGTGCATTACAGCCTTAGTTTAAGGGGCAGGTGTGTCTACTCTGAATTTTAAAGCGATGAGAGCTGGGTTTATTTCTGTGCTGGGATTAAGCAACCTATCTCCCCAGGCTTTGTGAAAGGGCCTCTGGAAGGGGGACTTCATATATCTGTTCAGAAGCTTAGGAGGAAGCCGCTGACCTTGAATGTCCTACACCGGGGAGCTGAAGGCCATGGTCTCCCTGGGCCACAGTGACTCTGTTTGGGTTCACTGCTTCCCTTCAAAGTCCAGAGCACCAGAGAGGTCAGCTGGTGGTAGGCACCAGAGCCGCCAAAGTGAGGAAGCGGGTGTCCCGGGGCACAGGCTCAGGACCCTGCCTGATGTGCCGTCCCTGGTGCCAGGCACCCCGATCCCCCCAAGGAGGCTGCCTCTTTCCCTGGCCTGGCTGCATCTGTTCTTGTGTACAGCACACTCTCAAGGCTGAGACACAGAGTTGGTTCACAGTCTGAAGAGAAGGGCCATGGAGAAGGAGTTGGAAAGATTTACTTGTTTTAAGAAAATGGATTTTTAAACCATTTTGGAGATAAAATAATAACAGTAATAATGAAAGCAACTAAAATTATTAAACACCTGCTACGTATAAGCATTGATGTGTAATATGTTAGCTATTATTATTATCTCATTTAACTGAAAACAACCTTCTAAGGCAAGTCTTCTCATTCTCTCTTTATGTGCATGATGACATGGGCTCAAAGATTTTAAGTAATTTGCCCGTGGTTGAACAGATAGTGTTTTTTGTTTTTGTTTTTGTTTTGCGGTACGCGGGCCTCTCACTGCTGTGGCCTCTCCCGTTGCGGAGCACAGCCTCCAGATGTGCAGGTTCAGCGGCCATGGCTCACGGGCCCACCCGCTCCGCGGCATGTGGGATCCTCCCGGACCGGGGCACGAACCCGTGTCCCCCTGCATCGGTAGGCAGACTCTCAACCACTGCGCCACCAGGGAAGCCCCAGATAGTGTTTTTTGAAACCTGGCTTGGTTCTTTCCAAAGCCCTTCTTTCCCCACATCATCTGTTCTACCTGGATTAAGAGACTAGATAAGAGGCAGGGTTTGAGAGGAGACACTACTGGGCAGCTTTTCTGCAAGGTGAGGCTCTAGTCAGTGATCAGATCCCTAAACCTGTCTCAGGGCTCGAAGGACCCTTGAAGGGGGCTTCACTACATTACAGCCACTTGGACACCCATCCCCTGCCAGGCTAAATCAATAGTGAGAAAGAACTCTCCAGCCCCAAAGGAGCCCCTTCCATGTGTGAAGAGCACTGACTCTGAGAAAGTCTTTTATTTTACTGAACTGAATTCCGCCTCCCCCTTTTACTCCCACCCATGAGTATTCTCTCTGTCCCATGGAGAGACAATGGGTCAATCAGATCCCAATTCCCATCAGCTGGGAAGGTTGGTTAATGGAGGTGCTGACCCTTGTGCCCTCTCGAGCGTGTTGTAAGCAGGAACACGGGACACAGAACCAGCTTAAACTGGGGTTTGAATTGTGGTTCTGCCGCTTACTGGTGGTAGGACCTCAGACAAGTCACTTAAGCCCTCTGATCCTCATTTTGCTCATCTGCAAAATGGGGATAACAAAATTTGCTACGCAGGGCTGTTGTATTTAAGGATAGTATGTCTATAGCAACTGATACACAGTAAACAATAAATAGAAGCTAATGTTAACAGAAGAACACAGCTTTGGAGTCAGAGCGACCTAAATTCCAACCTAGCCATGTGACACACACTAGCCACGTGACCTTGGGCAATGTAATTTCCCTGAGATTCCATGTCTCCATCTCTAAAGTGAATGTTGTAAAAGCACCTACCTTGAAGGGTTGTTGTGAAGCTTAAATGAGATTTACCATAGGGCCTGGCCCAAAGGCTGGGCATCAGACGCCATGGCTTTATAACAATATTATTATATTAGTAATAATTGTGATTATCACTTAGATTCCAGATATGTGTTTCTATGATCCAAAATCTTTGCCTCAGTCAGTGTAGACAATTTAACTCACTATGTGGAATCAGGCACCTAATAGGACAACCAAATAAACCAACACTGAGATGAAAACAGCATTGTCGCTGGAGGTCTCTGCTCAAAGCCATAGCCTAAGGTTCCCTCCCTGGTTCTTTAATGGACCCCTAACAAAGAAAGAACAGAATCACTGAGCACCCATTTTATCTACACCACCCACTTTTGCCCTAAGGTGTCACCTTTCAGCTCCGCAGTTGGTAGTTTAAAAAAAGAAAAACAGAGTGTTGGATTAGGAAGAATGTGCCCAAGTTACACAGTACAGTTATACTTTTAAAAATTCAGACTGATACGTGACAACTTAGAGTTGTGGCAGAACTCATTAGCTCTTACATTTTATAACATTCTGCGGTTTACAAAGTGATTTTACTCACACGAACAGCTACCGTCCTCCCAGCAATAGTGAAATAGATGGGACTAGTATGCCTGTTTTATAGAGAGGATATTGAAGTTCAGAGAGCCTGCATGGTTTTCTCAGATCACACAGCTTTGAAGAGGCAAGACAGAACTAGAACTGTGGCCTCCTGCATCTGGTTTACAGCCTTCTCCAGCCCCTACTCTAGCACATTCCCAGTATAATCTCTTCCACAGCACTACTCGTTACGAAATCCACCCAAGTAAGTCTCACACTGGGATCTGGTATCTAAAAGTCTGGAGTCCACCCTCTCCCTAGTTGACATCACAGGGTCCTGCATTCCGTTTCATCCTCCTAAATTCGACTGTCCCCCCTTTCAGTCCTGACACACGACTTTGTGACAACACAGCCATCTCTGGGACTGGCCCAGGGAGTAGTGCCAGGTGATGTGATGGAGACTGTGATCCAGGTGACAAATGGGGCTGAGTGACGGGCAAGCCTATATTTGGTGTCCCACCTTCAATGACCCTTGCCTGTGTCAGGCAACGCTGATAAACAAATGGCCCACCCCTTGGTATCTTGCCTGCGTAAACTCGCATTCCAGGCCTGGCTAGGGGAGTGTTGAGACACAGGAATTCCAAAGCAATGCAGGAGGCTGAGAAGGTTAGATATGTAAGCCAGGACCTTCGTGTGCTTTCAAATCATAGTGACTTAATTAGCAGATCAGTGCTATTTGAGTAAACTGAAATAAAGTGAAGAGCACTGTCTTACCTTTGAACAGCTTCTCAGTGCTGCTTTGAATTCCATCATCTTTCCATGACCTTCACAGTGATCCTGTGAGGAAAGTGCAGGACATAATCATCATTTTTGACCCATGTTAAGGCTGCAGGGTCAAGATTAGAACCTGTGTCTTCCAATTCAGGATGCTTTACAACACACGCTGCCTTTTGGCCTTTGAGCATCTGAAGAAGAAATCAGAGACGTCGTCTGTGTTAGGCCCCCATAGCTACATTTCCGTCTTTAGAAGTGCAACTGAGCACCTGTTTAATTGAATGCTTATGGATTTCTATTTTGAGTTTCAAGTCCTGATAAATGTACGTCAGATATTTATGGTCACTTAATAACAACCTGTGCCAGGCTCCATTACCTTGTGAAAAAGCTATTATCCGTAATCTTATACGCACTTTGGAAAGTATCATGTGTGGACAATTGCTGAATATACACACACACACACACACACATACACACACACACACACACACACCCCTAAGAAGCATATCTCTTTCCCATTAACTTGCAGGACATGCCAATGAAATCTCCATTGAAGATTTGAAATGAGAAATTTGACCTGGGGTTGTTTTCATTGAAAATTTTCACATCATTAATTTCACAAGTGTCACTGTCACATTCCTGGATATATACTGCATTTCTCCTCTATTTTATATTATGTTGAAACTCAGGACCAAAATGAACACGAAGAAAATTATGATTCTACCCTTTTCCAAAAAAACATACCATCTTTAGTCAGAGAAGGGTGGATCTTGGAAAAAGAAGTTGGGTAAAAAATTACCCCCAAATGTCACTTTTTATGCCTCATCTTGTTTGTACATGAGATGGCAATCTTGAAAATCTATTCTGCCCCTGAAAGTAAAAAATAAACAATTTGGGCTCTTTTAGGACATATTAAGTTCTCCATGCCTTTCTGTGTGCTCTTTTCTCTGCCTGAAATATCCTTTTCCCTTTTCTCTATCTGGTGAACTCTTATTCACCCTTCAAAACCCCATTTAGATGTGATGTTTTCTGTGATCCTCCAACAACTCACTGCTTTCCTCCCCAATCTAAATGTCGGTAGCCATGCCCTCCTTTGAGTTTGCATAGCACTTCTCATAAGCCTCTTTTCTGGTACAGAGTATTCTGGTTCCTGCCTATCTTTCTCACTAGAATGTAGGCTTCTCAAGGCTAGGGGACAGGACACAAATTACCCATTTTTATAAGCTTTCCTCTCCTTCATTCCTCACCGAGTAATTAGTGCAGTGTCTGACACATGATAGGTAGGTAGTAAATGCATGGTGATTAAATGAATAAATGAGTAAATGAATGCAGACTTGATCCCAAGCCTTTCAATTCAAAATCCATTACGCTTCCCATTAAACTAAGCAATCTGAACTATAGAAATAGTAGCACTAAATGTTTCCTTTTAAAAAACTTATTTCCTAAGATTTTACTGAATAAAAAGAAGAACCTGCTTCTCTGAGAAGGGTAGGATGTTCCTGGCTAACCTAACCTGCTTTTGGAAGCAGGAAAATCTCCTTGCAGGACATTTAGGTGGAGCGTTTCCCTTTGGTCCTAGTATCGGTTTCCATGGTCTGTTTGCTATTTACCTTCTGTTTCTCAGCAAAACCTGTCTTTCTTACGAGGCTGGGAGACACAATCCAGACCAGGTGACCCAGGAGGCTTAGTGTTAATTGCCAACTATTATAAGAAGGTGACTAGCTTCCCAGAAGGGAAAGAGAAGGTCAGAGGCAGCCACTTGGAATTGTCTGATAGTGCTCGGTGTCAATGACAAGATGAACACCAGGCTTCTTAGAAACCAAAGGATCTCAGAGAAAATTCAGCCCCCCTGGGACTGGCAGGATTTCAGATTTCACTGAGTACTGATGACTTATTTTAGTTCCGCTCTGGGGAAACTGAAAACTGGCTTCATACTTACAGACAGACACAGAGGAAAGAGAAAAAAGTTTCTTGATGTCCCTCCTTGCCTAGTATCTCTCAAACATAATTCTCTAGTCGGGAGACAAGGATGGCCTGGGGCTGGCTATCAGCAGCTTCTGGTAGCAGAGGGTGCTTGAAGGGTGTGCAAGGACCTGCAGGAGCATCACCTGTCCCTGTGAGCTCTGACGAGTACCTTCCTGTACATCCTCTGAACTCCACTGTGAAGCAACAGGAAAAGAATGACCCTCTTCATATCATAGGTGGGAAAACAGAGGTAAATAGAAGCTCTGAAGTTCATCTCGATGCACATGGCAAGTTGCTGGTAGCCCCGAAAGCAGGAGGAGGCTTCCAAACCACTGATCTAGTGCAGTGCCAACATAGCTCATTGCCTGGGCAATGATATTTCTTAAAAAGGAATGAATGGATAGATGAAATAAATCTGAATAGAGTTTTTATATATTATGTATTTTTATCAGCAAGATGAGCCAAGGCTTTGCTAACCGAAGGGTGGTGCCCTCCTAGCAGCAACAGCCCTGCCTGGAGTCTTAGAAGTGCAGAATTTCCTGCCTCTCCCCTGATCTACCAAACCAGAATCTGCATCTTAACAAGACCCAAGGTGACTCAAGAAGCGCTGAGCTAGATAAGAATACCATGTTCATAGGTTACTCCCACTTCTGATGGAATAATTTTTAAAACCCTAAGTGGAAGAAAATAACAATACTGAATATTTGCATACAATTTCAGATACACAAAACTAGCTTATCCATTCCTTCTAAGGACCCTGTGAGGTACACGGGAGCAGGGGCTATTGAAATTTAACAAAAGAGGAAACTGAGTCCCCAAGTGGTAAAGTGACTTGCTCAGAGCTTGCTCTGAGTGTCTGAGCTTATCCAGTGACTTACACACAATAACCATTCGCTGAAGGAATGAATGAACCACCAACAAACTGGGGCTGGATCCTGGCCTTCAGACCACAGCACTACTAGGGATTGGGTCACTCTTTTTTTTTAAAATTTTTATTGGAGTATAGTTGATTTACAGTTTTGTGTTACTTTCTGCTGTACAGCAAAGGGAATCAGTTATACATATACATATATCCACTCTTTTTTAGATTCTTTTCCCATATTGGCCATTACAGCGTACTGAGTACAGTTCCCTGTGCTATACAGTAGGTCCTTATTAGTTACCTATTTTATATATATTAGTGTGTATATGTCGATTGGGATTGGCTCACTCTGGAGGTTGCCTAAATTTAGGGTATTTGCTTTATGTCCTGTTAGACTTGACCTTGACCAGAGAGTCTTCAAGATGCCAAACTGGGGCGGAGGAGCGAAATGCGGAGCCTGCGGAAAGACCGTCTACCATGCGGAAGAAATCCAGTGCAACGGAAGGAGTTTCCACAAGACCTGTTTCCACTGCAGTGAGTTGGGTGAACGCCATGACGGCCCCTCAGCACTTCGAAGTTCACACTTAGTCACAGATACTGTGTATCAGTAGTTCTCAGAGTATGGTCTGGGGACCAGCAACATCAGCATCCCCTGGGAACTTGTTAGGAATATCACTTTGGGGCCCCACCTACAGAAGGGATGGTGCTCTCCTGAGCACCCCCTCTCCAACCACTTGTCCAGCTCAGAGGCCGTTTCCCTGAAGCTCAAAGTCAGAACAAGCTCCCAGTGGTGAAAACTTGACCCAGTGGCGACATTTACAAAGTGTGACCTGACAGAGTAAGAAAGCCATCACTTATCTGCAGCCAGGATGGACTTGGCTTGATGTGCTGTCCCCACAGGCCAGCGGTCACCGAAGCCAGCTGCAACTGGTCTTTCCTAAGAAAGAACCTGTGTCAGGCTGGGGGGCAACAGATGACAATTCTGGAAGCATCGGAAAGGGAAGCGTTTGGGGCACCATCAACTTGACAAGGGGAATCTTTACCGTCCCCTGCTGGACACAGTTTCACAAATGTCAAAACTAGGGGGGCATTTAAAACCCCGTGGTCCACCTGGGGGTCAGGCTCTACCCAACTCATGTGACTTTGGACAAGTCATTTCTCATCTCTAAGCCTGGGTCACTGGCATCTGCAGCAGAGCCAGGAGCAGAGTCTGTACCTTCAGATTCCCAGTCCAGTCTCTTCAACACGACTGCATTCTAGAGTTTCCTAGCAGCTTAATCCTATTTTAGGAGAGCAGTTCTGTCTTGGCCACTTGCCTTCTTTGCTCCCCTCCAGTAGGTCTGGCTTAAGGGTTAGCTTTACTGGACATTTCGCAGACGCGCGCTCCCCAACCCTTCGTGACCCATCCGCCCCCATGTCTCAGCCCAGCAGCCGCAAGGCATCACGTTGCCTCAAGCTGTTTCAAACAGAACTTCAAGGGTTGGGCTCCATCTGTTAGGGCATGGAGACACTTCATCCTCCAGAAATAGTAGCACTTTCTCTGCTGCAGGAGTTTCCATTATCCCTTACCTCCCACAACAAACATAACTGTCACCAAGCAATAGGGGGAAACTGCTGTGAGTGATTGGGTGTGTGGATTTACTAATGCTTTAGGTTTTAATGATGCGTAATTCTTTTTAAGCCATCATACACATTCATCAGGTTCACCACTATCATCACAATGATCCAGAGTCATTGCTCAAGAGAGTTCATTCCATAACCCTCTGGCTCTTGTCCAAATATAGCTAGTGTTCTTTAAAAAGAGTGGGGGGAAGGAATATTGGAAAGAACACTGGAGTTGGAGTGAAAATGACTAGGGTTTGAGCATGGGCTCTACCATGCACTTTAACTGTGTGACCTTGGGTAAGTCACCATTGTGAGCCTCAATTTCCCCATTTATAAAATAGAGATGGTTATACCTGCCACACAGTTGTTGTAAGAAGAAAGCTGGGTTTCTTCATCTGAGATCCAGTTTTCTAGGCCTTTATTCTCCTTTCATCAACTTGGATGTCTGAGTGGGTACAGGCAACGGTGGGGATGCTTTCCATGGCGAGGGGTGTCTTGTTTTCCCAGGCAGCAGGAGGATGCCCTGTTTAACGGAGCCATGGAAGAATGATGTGAGCATTTGCTGCTGCATCCCTTTCAACCCCTGGATATTCTCCTTGGAACCTGTGGGTGGGATGGGGGTCTGAGCAGTACAGGTTTCTGCAGTGGTGGACAGAAGGATCCTGGAGAGGAGCGTGATTTTCTGTAGTATCGTCACAACAGTGGTCTGTCCACAGGTCAACCTGTAGTTGCTGGAAATAGAGTTCAGAGAGGCAGAGTCTACCTTAGTTTGTCTCCTGGCCAGTGTTCTCCAAACTTCTATATAAATCTTAGCCCCCCTACCAGTGCTGTCCAAAAGATATATAATGCAAACCACATATGGAAACTTAAATTTTCTAGTAAACTTATTTTTTAAAATGTGAAAAGGAACAGGTGAAATTAATTTTAAAACATTTAACCCAATATATCAAAAAATTGTAATTTCAACATGTCACCAATATACACATTATAACATCATGTGACGGGTGAGTGGCTATGGTATTACACAGCACAGCTCTGCTATGCCTGTGTGTGTGAAAGCTAGTCAGAAGCCAGGGAGTGGCTATAGAATTGGCCAGGACAAGACAAGGTATAGGCAGTCCTGGAATGATGGGAATGAGCACTGGAGTAGGAGTCAAAGGACCTGAGGCCAGTCATGGCTCTGCAATTTACCACTGTATAATCGCGGACAAGTCACTGATCTTCATTCACACATGCATGCATGCATTCATTCATTCATTCATTCACTCAACAAATGTTTACGGAGGACTAACTCTGGGCTAGGCTCTGTGTTACATTCTGGGGATATTAAAACTGTTTTGCCCTCAAAGAACTCAGAGTATAGAACATAAATGAATAGTCAACAAGTTGTTCTGAAAAAAAAAAACAAAGAAAACCAAGTTGTTCTGGAGATTAGTAACTGACAGCTACAGGAAGGGCAGAGACAGGTATATACCTTACATGCTCAAATATAAGGCAAATTCCCCCCAAAATTATTCCTCATAAAAAGGGTTTGCCTTGGCTTCAGAGTCTTATAAAGTCTCTCATGCTACAGGACAGTCTCTCAATTACTCCATTTATTTAAACTGTTTTTTAATAGAAATTCTTACAAACAATATTGACCTAATTATTTAATGAACTCCCATATGCCTGTTTCCCCAGCCACATAACCATCAACCTCTGGCCAATCCTACCTCATCTACAACCTTATCTTCTTCTCCCACTCTTGTATTCAATAACACTTAAAAAAAAAAAAATAACCACTTGAGAAAGGCATATTAGCCTGAAACAACCTCATTCAAAGCTGGATGGCTTATAGAGGTCACTTGATGGGACTGTTTTTTTAAAAAGGAGGCAACTAAATTGAATGTCCATATATTATTATTCCTGTGGATATATGACCTCACTGTTACAAGCACTAAGTAGCACCCTAAGCAATCTTTAAGGATCATCATTACAAAGCGATATAGCAAGGTATTAGGCTGTGGAGATCCTACATACTTTTTAATGCTGCCCTAATATTATTGCTAATAGGTACTTCTTGCTGAGATACAATTTCCAGGTGACAGCCTCCTTCTCAGGTAAACAGGGCTGCCTCTAAAAGACACAGACAGAAGTAGGGATGAGCTGCTCTGGAGAGCTGAGTCAGCTGCCTCAGAAAGACACTGTGGAGAAGGGAGATGCTGATGTTGAAGATGCAGAGGAATAATTTGGATACAATTGTTTCCTGAATTTGTGTCAGATTAGAAAAAAGTAACATCTCCAAATCCATATATTGTTGATCTATATTATTAAATTAAATGTTACAAGCAGATATTTGACACTTTCATTTATATCCTTAAACGTTTATTTATTCAAGTTGGCAAAAATTTTTCTATTAATAGAAAAGTCTAATTAATAGAAGATTTTCTATTAATCTTCTCTTTGGAAAAATAGGGGATTGTCTTACATACTATGTATAATGTATATACACAACATGTGTATAATAACTATACTAGGGTAAAGTATGGGGGATACTTTACATTAGGTGATATACAGTAACCAAGGGGCTTGAGCCAATATAAGCCTAACAGCAGGTCTTCATTGCCTCCCCTGCTTCCAGAAGTGGATCAAAAGAAGTCTCAGCCGTAATTACCTCCTTGAATATCAAAGTGCTTTTCAAAATCCATTTTAAGTAGAGAAACTGCTCAATGCTGATTCTGATATGATTAAGAAAAAAATAAGTTCCTCCCCTGCCTCAGCCCCTCACCCCCTACTCACCCACACACAAATACACTCACACTTCCCGATGTCATTTGTGGTGAGACACTCAGGAGTGCATGTTGTCCCCATTCAGGGACAATATTCTTAGCTGGTCCAAGACCACACACCAGGTTCCAGTCCTGGCCTCCACCTCTTTCTAGCTGGGTACCACTGAAAACATTACTTCCCTTCTCTGTGCTCCAATTTCCTCATCTGTGAAACAGGACTGCCTTGGAATCTACGACTCAGGACAGATGCTCTGGTCAGGAATCAAAGTTGTGTTCTTGGCTGGTGGGGGCGGCCCTTGTGCTGAGTCCCTTGGCCCCAGTCAGGGTATTGGGGGTGCAGGGAAGGCGGGGAGGAATCTCAGTGCTAACCCCCTGACCATCCTTTCCTCAACAGTGGCCTGCAGGAAGGCTCTGGACAGCACCACAGTGGCAGCTCACGAGTCTGAGATCTACTGTAAGGTCTGCTACGGGCGCAAGTACGGCCCCAAGGGGATCGGGTATGGACAAGGTGCCGGCTGCCTCAGCACGGACACGGGTGAACACCTGGGCCTCCAGTTCCAACAGTGAGTTACTGTCCCGCTTCTCCCAGCCCGTAGAGCCCCAGCTATCAGGACAGTTCATTCTGTTCCCATGGCAACGTTTTCTGGAAGTGGGAGAATGGACTCTATTGCTGACTTGCCAACAATAGGAATACTCAGTCTGACCAAGTTCTAACAATGTGTCATCTCTCCGAAGACTCTCTTTAAATTATCTGCCTTTCAAAAGGGCAATTACTTTTACACCATGGCTCTTGGTTTGCATGTCAAGAGAAAACCCAGAATGTACAGATGTTCTATTGTTTGACCTTCGCAAAACTGCATGGAGTCTCTTTTCTTCCTCGTTGAGCATTTTTTGTGTAAATCACATAAATATGGCAGGGACGCAATGGCCATCCTCTGTGTGCTTGTCACTGAAAGATTTCTTCCCTTGGGTTGTAAGATAACTAACGTCTGCATCGCAGTGGGGAGTGGCTCTGTGGGGATGGGCTGTGCCTCAGAAGTAGACAATTATAACTTTCTGTAGGTCTCCCGTGCTGCCTGTTGCCAGTACAATGTTGAGGTTTCCCCAACATTATCCTAGGGAAGCCAGGGTTTCACACTGTGCCACCTCCATCTACCAGTCTGCTCTACTTGATGATCAGGCTGACCTCCAGCCCAAAACTGAATATATACACTGACAGTCACTGGCCTGCAGCTGCTGTCTGGCCAGCTGGTACCCGGGCTCAGCTCTGTGGCGAGAAAGGCCTTTCTGGCAGAAAGGCCCAGCCCAACTGAGGCAGTGTCCCCCAGAGAATAGTGAGAGCATCTGAAGAGTCATCTGGTCCCTTCCAAAGAGAGTAGCCCATGGTAGAGCCTGGAAAACTGCAGGGATGTGTGATTAGTCATATAAATTTTTCTCACTACTCAAGCCCAACCAGAGATGCTATTTTAAAAAGAAAGATGATACGAGCTGCATTCTCTGTCTCACATTACCCAAAGCTCACTCTTCTACGTTAGGGCTTTCCTGTGGTGCTGCACAGCCAGGAAGAGTCTGGAGACCTGGCTTTCATCCCAGCTCCACCAGTTATGAGCTGCTAACCTTGGGCACTTACCCCTCTGGCCCATGCTCTCCTCCAGCTAGCCCTGCCTCCTTTAGAGGGTTATGGTGAGGCTCAAACGATAAGCATACAAGGAAACGCCAAAAGATATGGAATCACAGGGTTATTATTGTGCCTCTTTCTTAGACTTTGCTCTCAAGAGGACAGGGGACCTTTGGATGCAGGGTGACAATTTGAACTGTGATAAGCATCAGCTCATTGGACTGTGGTTTGTTTAGTATCAACTGTCAAGATCCCATCTTGCCCTGTAATATTTTTACTCATTTTGGAAAGCAGACCCGTGGGTTTCAAGATGGTATAGAAAACCCTAAATGAACAATCACAGCAATATAACAACAAGACAAGGGTAATTATACAAGCTAACATACGTGGAACACTTGTGAAGTGCTTTACAACAGAAAGGAAAGAGGTAAGTGAATTCTGGCTAACATTCCTCAGCCCTTACAACAGGCCAGGGAGGCACTGTTCTAAGTGCTTTACTCATGTGGCCTCATTTAACCTTCTCAACAACCCTGTGAGGAAGGTACTTTGACTATCCCCACTTTCCAGATGAGGCATCTAAGGCACAGAGAAGTTAAGTAACTTGCTCAAAGTCACACAGCTAGTACTGTTTGCCAAGGGAAGTCTACAGGTTTCATTCGTCAATTTCCACCAGGTCCCCAAAGCCGGCACGCTCTGCCACCACCAGCAACCCTTCCAAGTTCACTTCGAAGTTCGGAGAGTCGGAGAAGTGCCCTCGATGCAGAAAGTCAGTCTATGCTGCTGAGAAGGTGATGGGAGGTGGCAAGGTAAGGACTTCTATATGAGTCAGATGGGATGCTGGGAGGAATGAGACAAGAAAGTAGGAACTGAGGGCGGGTGGAGGCCAGACCCTCCTTAGCTCCCAGGAACCACTTAGGAGCCACCCATCCTTACCCACTTTCCTGGGCTGTGACTGTCACCCTGCAGTGCCTTAGGAAACTGGAACTGGTGGATGGAATTCGATGCAATAAGCGTTAACCCACTAGGGGGAGGCACCCAGCTAGGAGCTCTGGAGAAACAAAGGCACACAGGCTCCCCTATCCTGTGTCCACAATCCTTCCAGAAAAGTGTCAGCCCTGGGAGCTGTCGCCACTGCATAACTCAGCCTGATATTGGCATCACACTGATGCACACAGCAAACACCCCACAGCAGTGAGAAGCATCCTCGCTCACAAATGTCCTGGCAATAGGGAAAGTCATCTGATGTCTGAGACAGTAACACACACTTGTCTACAAGCTCCAGTTTCAGGCCTGAAGCCAGGGTGTTCACCGAAGGATCTGAGCCTGAAGACAGACAAAAATCCTGTTTATACTAAGTAGGGGGAGGAAGCCCACAGAGAGTGTCTGACTCCAAATATAGGCGCAGTCTCCACCCCAGGACAGGCCATTTAAATACAGGTGAGGACCCTGGGCTGTGCCTAGAAGACACGCAGATAAGAAAGCAGACAGTCTTCTGGATGATCCAAGTCACACAACTCTCTTCCATCAGAAATACAGGGAGAGTATCAAAAAGGCTACAAATAATAAACGCTGGAGAGGGTGTGGAGAAAATGGATCCCTCCTACACTGCTGGTAGGAACGTAAACTGGTGCAGCCACTATGGAGAACAGTATGGAGGTTCCTTAAAAAACTAAAAATAGAGTTACCATATGATCCAGCAATCCCATTCCTGAGTATGTGTCTGGAAAAGATGAAAATTCTAAGTCAAAAAGATACATGCACCCCAATGTTCATAGCAGCACTATTTACAATAGCCAAGACATGGAAGCAACCTAAATGTCCATCAACAGAGGAATGGATAAAGAATGTGGTGTATAGGGACTTCCCTGGTAGTCCGGTGGTTAAGACTCCATGCTTTCACTGCAGGGGGTGCAGGTTTAAGCCCTGGTCAAGGAACTAAGATCCCACATGCCACACAGTGTGGCCAAAAAAAATTTTTTGTTTTTTTGTTTTTTTGTTTTTTTTGTGGTACGCGGGCCTCTCACTGTTGTGGCCTCTCCCGTTGCGGAGCACAGGCTCCGGACGCGCAGGCTCAGCGGCCATGGCTCAAGGGCCCAGCCACTCCGTGGCATGTGGGATCTTCCTGGACCGGGGCACGAACCCGTGTCCCCTGCATCGGCAGGCGGACTCTCAACCACTGTGCCACCAGGGAAGCCCCCCAAAAAAAATTTAAAAAAAGAATGTGGTGTATATAAATGTGTGTGTGCTATATATATGTGTGTGATATATATACCACACACACACACACACACATACACACATACACACACAATGGAATATTACTCAGCCATAAAAAAGAATGAAATAATGCCATTTACAGCAACATGGACGGACCTAGAGATGATCGTACTAAGTAAGTCAGACAAAGACAAATATCATATGATATCACTTATAGTGGAATCTAAAAAAATGATACAAATGAAATTATTTACAAAACAGAAAGAGAGTCACAGATATAGAAAACAAACTTATGGTTACCAAAAGGGAAGTGGGGGGGTGGATAAATTAGGAGTTGGGGGTTAACGTATACACACGTTAAACATCAAGGACCTACCTACTGTATATCACAGGGAACTATATTCAGTATCTTATAATAACCTATAATGAAAAAGAATCTGAAAAAGTATATATATATATATATATATATATATTACTTTGCTGTACACCCAAAACTACTACAACATTGTATATCAACTATACTTCAATTAAAAACAAATACACAAAGAGTTAAAATGAAGTTGAATTCCCTGGATGATTGCCCATTTCTTCACCTTTTTTCTTTTTTCATTTTATATTCAATATGTTACCCACTGCCTCAAGTCCAAGTTCCCCTCTCTTCAGTATTCTGGACCTTCTAGAAATGGGAAGCCCTATTCTATTTAGTCTGTTCTGAAGGAATACATATGGAAATCACCTTGATCTATTCGTTTTTAGGGGTCCTAAGAGTCGCTGGCCAAGCCCATAGCCAGAATAATTATTCCAGGGGCCAATTAGGTGGGTGAACTGTTAAGACAAGGGCATGCCTTTACATGCTGCTGGTCAGGGGACTTAACACGGAAATAAATGCCCTGCCTGCCCTATTAAATATCCACCTGCCTGTTCTCCTGTGCCCTGCAGCCTTGGCACAAGACCTGTTTTCGCTGTGCTATCTGTGGGAAGAGTCTAGAGTCCACGAACGTTACTGACAAAGATGGGGAACTTTATTGCAAAGGTGAGTGGTTCCAGAGAAGACTCTCTTGAGATGTTTTCCCAGGGAGGGTTCTTGGCAGGGGAAGTTGTGTTCCTGCCGAGAGGCCTGTGTCTGCCCGGAGGCATGGCTTCTCAGCCTGAGCCAGGTTTGAGCTCACAGGATGGGGAGCAAAGCCACCTAAGGGAAAGTAAGCTCCCGCCTGACCCAGCTCTGGTCCCCTCCATAGGGACATCTGGGGGGACCTGATACTTATAGATGCCCAGTGGTTCCTGAGCACCTGGGGGGAGAGAGGACAAGGAGGAAGCAGTGTCCTGACTGGCCTTGGAAGAGGCCTTAGGTCTGGACAAAAACATCACATTTCCTTTCAAAAACCTGAACCCTCTGTCCATTTGACTGGCAGATAAGGGTGACAGCGTTGCGGGGTGCACGGATGAACTGTGTTCTGCCTCTCCTGAATTTATCAAGACACATCTATCTCCTTCCTCCCTCCCTCCCTTCCTTCTTTCCCAGCCCCCTTCCTTCCCTCCCTTGCTCTCTCCCTCCTTCCTTTCTGACATTTCTGTTTCTGACATTGCACATCACTTCGTGATCACAGAAAGCGAACTGACAAGCTGGTTTCCCTTCTGGTCCTCACAGCTCTGCCCCTAACTGCCTCCATCATCCCTTTGTCTTGCAGAGAGGCAATAGAGGCTTAGCTCCTTCCTGATGCTACGAAGAAGAAGGGACGCTTTAGGGCCAGGGCAATGTGTCCTCACCCTCAGAGCCTCTCCTAGGCCTTTTCTGTTTCTCAGCGGGGTCCTCCCACCCTTTCACTCAATGATGGTGCCTCAGGATCCCCAAATGTGTGTGTTAAGAGGTGGGGAGAGGCAAGGGGGAGGACGCTACTAATCAAGACTGTAGGTGGCCCAGCTTCTGCCAGGATGAGACAGGATGGAAACTGATGCACTATCTGACGGGCTGCCTTCTTCTGGCAGTAGAGGGTACAGAGGGTTCTCAGCATTCACAGGCTATAAAATTCTAAAATGTTGCCACAGCCAGTAGGGAGATCAACCTATAGAGAAGTAATTGCATTCTCAAGTGGTACAAGCTCTAGTAGAGGATGCTACACAATGCAGGGTGCAAAAAGGGGCAAGTGATTGGCTGGGCGTGTCGGGAAAGCTTCTTAGAAGAGAAGTTTCCTCTGGGCCTTGAAGGGTGAACGTGGGTTTGGGAGGGGGCATTCCAGGAACAAGGAGCAGTGAGTGCAAAGGCACCAAGGCCAGGACATCATGGCTCGTTCCAGGAACTGCAAGCAGTTGTGTGTATCTGAAGGGCAGGCAGGGAGGCGGAGGCAGAGGCGGAAGCAGGAGGGGATGAGGCTGGGCAGGCAGCCGGCAGCCAGATTATGTCGACTCAAATGAGAAAATGTCTCTGAACACACCTAGGGAAGTGCAAAGAAGTATAAACAGTTTTATTAGCAGATCTAAAATAAATACAGTTCAATGTGTTTGAAAGTTAACTTACAAACACATTTGTCAAAAGGATGCCTCTCCCAGGTAAAAGGACTGTGCTCAGACAGAGAGAACTGAAATGATGGTGCTGACCAACCCCTTCTCTCCCCTGTCCTCTTCTCTCTCGTTCACAGTTTGCTATGCCAAAAATTTTGGCCCTACAGGTATTGGGTTTGGGGGCCTTACACATCAAGTGGAAAAGAAAGAGTGAAAAGTGCACCGTTTCTCAGGTCTCTCATCGGCCTAAAGCACTTGCCAAGTATCCTACCCAGATGGAAACCCCTCCCCAAACATCCTTTTGTTGGTAGTTGGAGAGTGTTTCTCTTCAGAAGTGACCACAGTCTTTACCTGAAGTTAGAAGAGATCTTTGGAAGAAAATTATTAAAAGTCTAATCCGTAACAAATGCTTTATTATTTACGATACTTGGGGTGGGAGAGGCCATAAATAAAAGTTTAAGTGGTAACTTCTACGTCTCTGGATCTTTTCTTTCAAATGGGGGAAATTTTCAAAAAAACAGAGCGATAGTTTAAAAAAAAAATTGTGCAGAGGATGTAATGAATTTTGGTGTCAGCTGTGGAAAGAGTGAGGAGGAGGAGGAAGCCACGGGCAAAGGGAAGGCGTCTTCTAGAATCTGTTGGCTAAGCTTCTTTCTAGTTAGCGCTAATGGAGAAGAAAACAGGGGGTCCCGGAGGAAACAGACAACATGGTAGCAAATTCTCAAAGGAAAATCAAACTAATAAAACTGTTAACGAGCTGATCCTTCTGTCCGTATCATGGGCTTTGCAATATTACACATTTCGTGAAAACTCAGAAATGGCAACAAAACGTGGAGTTTGCTTCTGTGTTATAAACAACATGAGGATGATCTCCTTTTATTCTGGGACAATTCCCTAAGGTTTAGCAATTGTCTTAAAACTTCTCCTCCATCAGATTGCCAGACTCACGAATGAAACGCAGCCAATTAAAAATGTCTTCCTCTGCCTCCTCAGCGAGATCTCAATGGCTCAAGCGTGTGTACTTTCTCGTCTCTGCTTTTAACAACCACGGCATTTCTCCCACCACCATGCACTTCTCCATTATTTGCAGAAAATGAGAGCAAATGAAAATCTATTGACAAAAATTATGAAACACTTGACTAAACCGTGGCTTTTTCTATGCTCCAAGTCCCAAAAAGGTGTTCTTTAAAATGAGTGTTTATTCAGGGTTGCTTACTTGCTGTCATGGACAAGGCCTTACACTGACTTCATTATTTATCTATCTATCTATTTTTTGATGCTCAAAATGCAATTACATTTAATCATTTTCTCTCTCTGATTGGCATTAATAGAATGGTTCAGAAAAAAAACAACAACAAAAAAACAGCTGGCAGAGGTTGTGTCCCATCCCACTTTCAAAGAGATAATATACAAATATGCTTTACTTGCCTAGAGACTCTCGCTGGGGTAATTCAGCCACTGAGTTCCACTCAAACGGCCTGAGGATGGAAATACTGTACATTCCACATTCTCTGGGGAAGGAAGCCTAGGACAACGTATTTTTAATTTGTAAACCTTTTCCCAGAGCTATATAAGAGATCCCATCATTGTCGATCGAACAATTAATAACACCAGGGATGAAATGAATTAACTAAACCAAATCCCCTTTAACCTGCACTGACTTTAAAAGCAATATGCTACCTTGGCCCTTCACTAGGAAGTCCCCCACACTAGGGACTTCCAGGCTTGCTGAGGGGTAAGATACATATGAAATGACTACCAGACAGTGCAACCTATTCCTCCACTGCAGTTCAGTTACCAGTCCCACTTACCACACACCCAGGAGACAAGCAAAAAACTTCAGTCATCCTTAGCTCTGCCCTCTCCCACATCCCCCCTTGCCTCATTCCCCAAGCCTCCCTGATTCTGACTCCTCCACGCCCACTCTTCGGTATGTGTATCAATCGGCTACGGCTGCCATAACAGAGTACCATGGAATAGGTGGCTTAAACAACACAAATTGTTTTTTCACAGTTCCGGAGACTAGAAATCTGAGATTAAGGTGTCAGCAGGGTTGCTGTCTTTTGAAGTCTCTCCTTGGCTGGTAGATGGCTGCCTTCTCCCTGTGTCTTCACATGGTCTTCCCTTTCTGTATGTGTGTGTGTTGTAATTACCTCTTCTTATAAGGACACGAGTCATCCTGGATTAGGGACCACCTGAATCACCTCGTTTTAACTTAATTATCTCTGTAATACCCTATCTCCAATTATAGTCACATTCTGAGATACCGGGGGTTAAGACTTGGACATGGGAGTTTGGGGGTATAGGGGGGCACAGTTCTGCCCATGACAATATGTCATATAAGGACTTTCACGAATTGGTCTTGGACTTAACCCATTCAACTTAGCTTTAGACAATCTCTTCCATACAAGCCCCAGCTACATTCAAAGACCTGAAGCTTTCCAAATACTACGAGTACCCTCACCCCATCATGCTTTTGTGAATGCTATTTTTTTGCCTGGAATGTCAGGAAGATGGAACCTCCTCCCAACTCCTTAGCCTGGTGAACCCCTAGTAATCAAGTCACAGGTCAAATGCCATCTCCTCTGCAAAATCTATTCCTGAACTACCTGAGGAGAATTAATCCACCTCTGTATTCTCATAGCCAGTACATAATTAACACAGCACTTATCTCATTGCATTAAATTTTTAAACCCCCATCTGCCTCCTTGTTAGAATGTGACACACTTGTATTCACAGTGCTCGAAAAATAGTAGGCACTTAATAAACATTTGTGGAGTGAGTGAAGTGGGAGAGACTGTAGGCTGGACTAAAAGCAAATTCTACTAGACTATAAAAGAAGAGATTATTATATACTGGAGTGGAGGGGTTTGGAAATGAAAAAACAGAACAAAGAACCTTATTGTGGTTCAGCAGTGTCTGTGTTTCTCCTCTGCTTCCTGGGCACACTCTTCTACTGCATTTCCCAGGCTCCCTACCAGTGACCAGGACACATGCTGAGTTGGCCAATGGAGGCCCGGCCCCCAAGACCCCCAGAAAAGTCTCCACTCTCTCTTTGCACATCTGTGGATACAGAAGGCCCAGTGGACACTGAGGCCCTAGGAAATGGTGGAGCCATTAATTGGGAAGGAGCGTGGGTCCCTGCATGGAAGAACACCTGCTAATTCTAAGTGGACTGTGACAAGAAGGAGAAATGAGTCTGATGTTGTGTTAGGTCACCGAGATTTGGGGGATGTTTACTATTGTGTTAACTTCCTTGACTAACGTGCACCTGAAATAGTGGATGTGCTGCACCCAAGAGAGCTGCTATCAGCGTCCATCCCATTCCTTGAAGTCGCAGGGAGCATCATCAGGACTTTGCCTACTATTTGTGACATCAGTTCAAATGTGTGCTCTCCAACGTGACGATACAGGCATTGGGAAAAGGAATGAAGTTACGGCATGGTGATACGAGTCACACGACTGGGCTTGCTTTGACTTTAAAACAAAACAGAAACAAAGCCCTGCTATTACCTCCAAGCTACCGCCTTCTCCCCTCTCCTTTCAGAGCCAAACTGTAAGACTAGGTCCCATTTACTCCTTAGCATCTCGGCATCTGGCTTCCGATCCCCCCATGCCGCCACACCGCCACACCTCCTGAGCACAAACTGTCCGGTCTCTCCTCAGTTGCTCTTCTCAGCCCTGCCTTCACTCCTGACCACTGCTTTCTCTCTGAAATTAGTTCCTCTCCTTGAATTCTATGACTCCGTCTCCCGACTGCCCTCATACCCAACCTCCTCCCAGCCCCCTCCCCTTCCTCTCCAGCTCCCTAGATCCATGTTCCATAAGGTCACATTCCTGCCCTTCTCCTCTCTCACTTTTTTTTTGTTTGCATTGGTTTTCATCTTTGGTCTATTTTTAGAATTGATCTTCCCATTTGGGGAGGGCAACTCCCTTTTCATTTTCATCTCATTTTTCTAGGTGTCTCCTGTGACAATCTCATCCCTGTGCAGGTGACTCCCATCCATGCCCTGGCCTCCTTCCAGCTGTCTTAACTGTTCCACTGGATAGCTTTAAGTATCTCAAACAGGCCCCAACTACCAAACTCACCACCCAGTCTCTCCACACTGTTTCCTTTACTTCTCAAAACAGCACCACCGCCCCCTCATTCACTGGGTTCAACACTGCAAAGCCATCCTTGACTCCTCCTCTGCCTCAGTCAGCAACGGGGCCTGCCCTTCCCTCCTGTGCCTTCACTACTGGTTGCCTAGACCACAACTAAAAGTTTACCTCTAACATTTTTTATCTGTCAGGGTCCAGTCAGAAAAACAGAAATCACACTAGTTTTGTTTTTTAAGAGAGAAAATAATAGAGGAAATTGGCTAAACAAGTGCTAAAATTTTTGAAAAAGTAACAAGGGACACACTGACTTAACACAGAGATACAAACTGCAGCAAGCAGCTACACCACCCCTGGGGCTGGGGAAACGAAGAGAAGAGATGGGGGTATCCTCATTTACGTGCCTCAAGGAGAGCTCTCCGGGGGGCTAGGAGTCAGACCTCTGAGGAGAGCGCCCTGCCTAACTGCTGGTGCTTCTAAGGGGCACCATGGAGCTGATCCAGGGAAATAGCTGGACACTGATTCCAACTGTCATTGTCGGGGTGAAGGGCCATTGTTTGAAGAGCACTGAGGGGAACAGCTGGCAAGTAGGATGGAGTAAGTCCCTTCTCCCCTCCTGCTTCCAGTCTACTGGCAGAACTTAACGGAAAGTCGGCTGACAAGGAGACTGTAATTTTCGGAGTCCTAGCCCAGACACACAGCGCAGAGTAGAAGGGGAAGATGTGGCACATTTCCCTACCACTAGCTTCTCTCTCTCTAGTCAATTTTCCAAAGATTTCTGAATAGCCAGCATTTATTGAGCCTTTACTATGTGCCAATTACAATTCTAAGCACTTTCAATGTATGAACTCATCTAATCCTCTTAACAGCACCTGGAGGTGTATACACCCCACAATATTACCCACAATACAAATCAGGAAACGGAGGCACTAGAAAGCTAACTCATGTGCCCAAAGAGATGAAAGTAGCTTATAATTGACATATCCAGGATGCATACCCAGGGTGCCTTTCACACCTACATATACCCAAGGGAAAAGCCAAAATAGAATAATGGGAGTGCAATTCCCAAAGTAAATGATTCTCAAACTGTAGCACATACATGTAAGAGCCAACTGGGGAGCCTGACAAAAACTCAGACTCCAGGACTCTCTTCTCAGAGACTGATTTAAAAGGTCTGAGATGAGAAATTTGAATTTCAAACACATTATCCCTGGACACCACCCTCCACGTCCACCCCCCAGCCCCTGATTCTGATGTGAATGGTCTGTGGACCACCGTTTGAGAACACTAACTTGGCAGGGGTTGGTGAGAAAATAAGAGAGGATATAACTTGAAAAAGTCCACTTGCCCCCAGACTGAGAATCAGCCTTCAACACAACTCTGATCACATCGTGTTCTGCTTAAAATCCCTCAATTCCACTCAACAGACTTATTCAGCAGATTCATGCAAATATTTATTGAACACATACTACGCGTTAGACAGTATTTTAGGTGCTTGGGATACATCAGTGAACAGAACAAAGATCCCTCATAGACCTTATAATCTGACAGGATGGAGAGGGAGACAGTATGCAGTAGACAATAAATAAATCACACAGTATGTCAGAAGGTGGTAAGTGCTATGGGGGAAAAGGTAGCGTAGGGTAAAGAAGAGGAAAAGGGCAAGAAAAGGATGTTACGGGCTTCCCTGGTGGCGCAGTGGTTGAGAGTCCGCCTGCCGATGCAGGGAACACGGGTTCGTGCCCTGGTCCAGGAGGATCCCACATGCCGCAGAGCAGCTGGGCCCATGAGTCATGGCCGCTGAGCCTGCGCGTCCGGAGCCTGTGCTCCGCAACGGGAGAGGCCACAACAGTGAGAGGCCCGCGTACCGCAAAAAAAAAAAAAGAAAAAAGAAAAGGATGTTACAACTTCCAAAATGTGGATGACGGTAGGCCTCATTGAGAAACCGACATTTCAAAGAAAGCTGTGAGGAAAGGCACTATGGATTTCTGGGGTTACAGTCGTCTAGGCAGAGAGAACAGGCAGGGAAAGGTCTGAGGCAGAAGCATGCCTGGGAGGTATGTGGGATCAGCAAGGCGAAAAGCAAGAGAAGCGGTCAGATCCTATAGGGTCCTGCAGGCTACTGTCAGGGCTTCGGCTCTTCCTCTGGTGAAATGAAGAGCCACTGGAGGGTTCCTGAGCCCAGGAGTGACGTCGTTCAATCTGCTTTGTACAAGGATCACCCCACTGCTTGTAACAGGGTGAGGGTAGAAGCAAGGAGACCAAATAAGAAAGCTGTAGTAATCCAGGCAAGAAGCGCTGGTAACTCAGGACTACAGCAGCAATGGTGGCCGAAAGGATTCAATTCTGGATATATTTTGAAGACAGAGCCAGTAGGATTTCTCAAAGAAATGAATCTGTGGTATTATGAGAAAAAGTAAGTTATCAAGAAAAGATTCTAAGGTTTTGGCCTGAGTAATGGAAAGGATGGAGTTTCTGATCAACTGATATGGGGAACACTGAGGGTAGGGAACAGGGTTGTGTATTTTTTATTCATTTACTTTAAAATGTATTGTATGTTTTATTTTTAATCGATTTTTAAAATCTGTATTTTATTTGTGCACATGGGGCTAGGGTAGAAATCAGAAGTTCAGTTTCAATTTGGACAAGTTAAATTTAATATGTCTGTAGATGTTTAAGTGGGTATGTCAAGTACACAGTCTGGAGTTTGAGAAGGAAGTCCGAACTGGAGTTAACAACCTGGTGCGTTTGGGCACACGGATGGTATACGTCACTACACAATCCGATGAGATTATAAAGGAAGAGGAAGTGAGTTTAGATAAAGGGCAAGATCAAGGAGTCGCCTCTGGGACATTCCACAATTAAATGGTAGGGGCGGCGGAAAAACAGCAAAGGAGATGTTAGGCTCTCAAGAGCAACCAGCGAGAGGAGGAGGAAACTCAGGGGTGCTCTCCTGGAGGCCAGGTGAGGAAAGTATATTAAGGAAGCACCTGTCAGATGCTGCTGGTAGGTTCTGTACGATGGACTTGGAGCTGACACGCAATTTAGCAACACGGAAGACACCGGTGTGCTTGACAAGAGCAGTTTCCATGAGGTGCTGGAGGTGAAAGCCTGACTGCAGATGGGTTAGGAGGAGGATGGGAGAGAGGACTTGGAGATATTGACAAGGTTTTCAAGAACTTTTACCTACAAGGGTAAAGAAATAGTTCCTTATTGCTCACTTTAATCTTACAGTTCCTTCCCTTAACATCGTTCAATGCCCCTGGTGATCTAGCCCCTGTCCACCTTTCCAACTTATTAACCAAGCTCCCCACTTCCAACATCCTATAGACCCAGGCTGTCATTGTTCTGACTATACTTTAGACTTTCCCGTTGTCTTTACTCATAGAGTTCTCTCCATCTGAATGCCTTTCACTTCCAACTCCCCATTTCCAAACTCAGTATCACTGAAAACCCTTTCTAATGCCCTATGATCCATAAACACTTCCTTGATTACACCCACCGAGGCTCTCCCCAACCTCTAAACTCTAACCATATTTAATTTGCACCCCTCTTATAGCTTTTAGTATTTTCTACATTATACTATAGTTTCATGTATCTTAGCTTCCCCTCTAGACTGTAAATGCCATGATTAGTATGCCCAATTAAATGTTTTATGGCCTGCAACACCTAGCATGATGCTCCATAAATATTTGTGGAATAATTTAAAAATGAATGAAATGTGCTTTCCATGTTACATATCAATTAGGTGTGCTGCAATACAGTGGCTCTGGGAATTTGAATTTTAAACAAGTGAGCCCCAGGCCCCTGCCCTGTCCCTGTGACTCTGATCTAACTGGTCTATGGACCACAATTTGAGAATATTTACTTGGCGGGTGTTGGTGGGAAAGGAAGGGAGAGAGAAAAAGTCCTTCTGTCCCTTAAATGAGAATCAGTCTTCAAGCCACAACTGTGATCACATCATGTACTGCTTTAAAACCCTGCATTCATACAACAAATTTATTCAAATATTTATTGAACACATACGTGTCAGGTGGTATTCTAGGAGGCTGGGACCTCAGAGTGGGTAGCCCACTTGGTATCCATTTGACCTTGAAGAAAATACAAACTTCTTTAGGCTTTAGTTTCCTTATCTCAAAGCCTCTGTAGAAAAAAGGAGAACAGGTCTTTGAGGAACTGAAAGGTCTATGCCATTAGAGTACAAACTGTGGTCCAAAACAAGATGGTAAACAAAATAGGCGCTATCATTCAGGGCCAGCTGGACATGATAAGAATTTTAGCTTTTACCCCAAGAGCAATGGGAACCTAAGGAGGGGTTTTCAGCGGGAAGGCTATTCACATTCACACACACACACACACACACACACACACACACACACACACCCAAGAGTTCAAGTTATTCACATTCACACACACACACACACACACACACACACACCCCCACCCAAGAGTTCAAGTTGAATTAGCATTTCTTCCAGAACAAAGAAAATGAGCAATTACAATCACACCAGTCGAATGTTTTAAGGGTACTAAGTAAAAATTGTATTAATCTTTAAGATTTCCCATTCAATTTTCTAAGCAAAACGGAAAACAAAATTAAATCTTATTATTGCTACTAACAGTGATCTCAGCTCATTCCTGGGATTTGGGAATTTTTCTTCACATCCTATATATACCTTTTCTCAATTTAAGATTCAAGAAGTGTCAAGTGTCAGAAACTAAGTCTCAACTACAAAAAAAAATTTTTATTAAGTGTGAAAGCAAAACAGGTACATCTATTTAAATATTTTTTTACATATTTATAGATAAAACAAAGACAAATAATTTATCAAAAATTACAAGTTTAAAGAATAATACTATTTTGAAACAGCCAATAAAAGTATCTGAAAATACCACATTTTCTCCGTAATTGGTGAATATTATCTCCAAAAAAAAAAAAAAAAAAGGAACTTGCATTTTCTTGTGAAAAATATAAAAGTTTTTTTTTTTAGATGTCTGCCAAGATTGTTCAGAAACAGTCCATCTTACTAAGTCTGAAAAAGTGTAAGCCTTTCTCGAGAACTTCTGTTTTTACCAAATGCTTTAAAAACCACCTGTGTTTTCCTTTGGGATTAGGTGAACTCTAAATCTTCACTGCACTTGCAGACCACAGGGCATCAACATAAATACAAACAAATCAGAGTGAGAGTTGTGGGTTGCTTTTCTTCACACTGAGCGAAGAACCTTCTCCTTAGCTGGGTGAAAGACCATGGTGTACTGTGACGTCCAGTCTACTGCACAGGGCTTGACCAAGCCAAAGCAGCCACACTGAAAGAAATCCGCGAGGTTCTGTGTGAACCCAAGGCTGCCAAGAAAGAAAGAGAACACGTCTTACTACATTTCCTGTTAGCATTTCACAAACATTCATTCAAACATAAACATTCACTGAGAATTTACAGTATACATCCTTCCAAGATCCTGCAGGAATCTAGAGGTGAATCAGACAGTTCTTGAATTTATGGCCCTTAAAACTGAAGCCCAGTTCCATTTCTGGACCTGAATCCCTATTTTGAGATTCCCTGGCTTGTGCCCAGCAACTCAAGTTCATTTTGGGTCCCCACTCACTAGAACAGTCCCTGCCACCATTAAGTTTCTTTCTTTCCATTCCCACTGCTCTAATTCAGACTTGGACTATCTCAAAGGACAGACAGGCCAGAAAAACTATGATCAACAAGATGGGATTCTTCGAATTCTAAGAAACTCTAAATGGTGTCTCTGTCTCAATTCCTTCTAATTCATCCTACATACTGGAGACTGGTCCTCCAAACACCTGATATATTCATAGCCCCTAACCTCCCAGTCAAAACCCTTTAACAACATTCCTCTGCCCAGAGGCTCAAAGCCAAATCCCTCATCTTTGTACTCACAGCCCTATACACTAAAGCCCAGGACTCCTCGGGTATTGATGCTCCAAACTCATCTTTTGTTATAGCTACTCTGGCTTTATTTTTCCCATGATCACAACTGCATGGGCCATTCTTCTACCCTGGAACCCACACTCCCCTACTCTTCCATCAGGTAACACCCTTATCCTTTTAAGCCCTACCAGTTCTCAAGGCCTAGGTCAAGGCCCACTTCCCCTTTGGAGCCTTCCTGACTACATATCTTCAGCATCATTTTTTCCTCCATTAAATTCCTGAATGCTACTGTCTGTTCCAGTTATCATGAATATTCATTTTTAGGCATATGCCCCATCTTTCAAGTGCCTAACCCAACGTCTTAAACACATCGGAACACATCTGTGTGTGAGGATGCATGTGCCACTGCTGCTGGTTACTGAGAGTGGTCAAGAAATTTCCAAGGCTTCTAAGAAGGTAGCTTCCCAGGCAGGGGGTTGCCCACACGAACTGATGGGGTGGAAGCAGGGAGGCATGCTGGGGACCGACAGGGCCCAGTTCAAGAGCTGGCTAGTGAGTAAAAGTAACTTAGGGGAAGACAATAAGACAAATCTTTGGAAGCTAGTTTCAAAGTGGCTCCAAGGCTTTACCTTTAGTTCCTCCAGTAATGCTGCCATGTCTTAGCAATTCCCCAAAACGCCCCAACTCTCTCACCTCTGGCCCTTTATTCAGACACTTCTCCAGGGCTCGGGATGCCCTTCCTTCCTGCTCCCCACCCCACACCTTTCAAGGCTCAGCTTAAAATTCCACCTCTATCACAAAGAGGTCCGTACTTCGGTGGAGTAAATATTCCTCCGGTTAAGTCACTGAGAAAGGGATTTTATTATCACTGCCAGTCTGAAACAATCATCACAAGCTTAACACGACTCTCTACACTCCATCACTTTGGCCGTCTCTTCCCAATTAAGTCAATTTCTGTCCTCTAAACACACATCATAGTCATATCCCAGGCTCTGATTTCCTTGTCTAACAGCCTAACAGTTTCATCTTGTACCGTGAGTGTGCTTTAAAATAGACTGCTCATGAGATATGCCGTGAGCAGGCAAATCCCTAGAGGGCACTGGGTCACCTCTGCAGCGCTCTCAGCCTCCAAGATCCCGACATATCTGACAGGAAGATAAGCTTCAAACCCTGATCTCTCATCTCATAAGATGACGGCAATCCTACAAACACTCTCATTTTCAGCTGGGGACAGGTTTTACACAACCAGTGCTCTGGGGAAAACATATCCCAAACCTGAAAAAGTAACTCTTCCCTGACACAGGTGGGCACTTTAAACATCGGGCTAAAAGAATTACTGGTGATAGAAAGTCAGGTTGAAAATCCTGGCAAAGCTCACAATCTAACGCTTTCTACAGAGAGCCCCATGGCTGGCTTTCTCAGCCACGTGCTTAGTTATCTCACGCTGACTTCATGCCAGCAATATGCAACCTTGTGACCATGTGGCTTGACTGAAGAGATCTCCCATCTTGGCAAAACTTCAAAGTCACTTACTGTTTGTGCTGAGTCCAGCAGACTAAATCTTACCACCTTGGGGCTCATGACCTTACCACTCATCTCCTGTCACTGAGGCTTCCAAGAAAGAAGAGGTTCAACTCCGTCAGCCAGTTAGAGGATGGCAGCAGGGCTGTGGGTGGTGACACTAGGTCGGGAAACCAATGGCGAGGCCAGCACCTTCCACCGGCTCAGTGGGCAGAATAGGTCCCACTTACTTGTATGGGGTCCTCCTGAGGGACAATGTCTGTTTCATGTGCCTGCTCTGCTTCAGCAGGCTGGTTCTCTCATGAGAGGTCAGGCCCAGAAAAGCAATCTGAAAATGAAGGTGGGAAGGTACATGAAAAACACTACCACATCGAGGCTCATCACTCTTGGCATCGCATCACAGGACACTGGCAAACATTCAGTTCTCCCCTAAAGGCAACATCACCTGGACTGCTAACCAATGATCACGGTGAGGGCAAGGACAGAGCAGCTCAAAACAAGACTCCTATGTAAATCTAGTAGCTGGGCAATTCTTTTTCTTTTTATTGTCTGACTTTTATTAACCTTCAAGAAAGCAGAGTGCATTGACTCAGTCGTGAAATGATTGCTTTAGTAATTCAAGCTGTGGATTACGGCCATGTTTAGACTCTCAACACATTCAGCATTCAACTTCCAGGTGAATCAAACAACATAAGGTCAGCATTAATGCAATTATCTCAACCTCTATACGCTTCTTAGTATCTCTTTGAAAAGGGCCAAATAAAAAAGTTAATCTGAAGTGAAGAACATTTAAATCCATAAATTTGGGGAAGTGTAAGAATTAAGGTAACTTTAAAAACTCTCAAATCATTAAAACCAGTATTTTTTACTAAGCTATCTCACCTAATCCTCAAAATAATTCAAACATCAAGTTCCTTACCTGTAAGACAGAGATTATCACAGCATCCTCATCGGATTCTCTAAGGATTTGTGATAAGATATTTAAAATGATCCAGTGCACAGGCTGACAGAGATGAAGTAACTGGTCCAAGGCCACACAGCTTAGAAAGTGGCAGAACTGGGGCGGACACCTCAGTCAGTGTGAGAATAAAGCCCACGGTCCTTGCCAGCCATCTATATGCTCAGTCTGACTCCCTACGGTCAAAACCATGATTCACCTGAGCACTCAGGAAACGAAAGGCTTTAAATAACTGGACTGTCTTGTTTATTAAGAAAACAACTTTACTCTGAATTCCTGTTTTTGAAAACTATCCAAAATTTTGAGTCCACTCTCCTGCCTCAGAGAGTATAAACAAACTTTCTTTTAAAAAGTAAAGATATTATAGCCTCAAATGTACTTATTCTAAGAATCCAGGAAAGAAGAAAGAGAATTAGAACTGATGTCCCAAATCTTAGGTTCTGCTTCTAACTCCACCTCTGACTGAGCCCTATGGCCATAAGCAAGGCGCTCAACATCTCTTAGGTTTAGTTTTCTCATCCATAAAATGGAAACACGACTTTGGCACAGACTCCATCTCAAATGTCTGTGAGGCCATTGACGGGAAAGTGCTTTGGAATACGTAAAGCATATATAAATATGAGGTATTACAAATGATTATAATATTAATAATCATTGATGCTAATATCCATTCTTACTGCCTGAGTCTGTAGATGTCAGATAGGAGACTAGGACAGGTATTGTTCAGAAACCTCAGTTCAGCCAGTATTATTAGCTTAATTCCTTTCCTTAGCCTTTTCCCCCCTTTTTCTTACTTTATTTTTTATTATTATTGCAGAATTGGTTACTCTCCCATAAAAATGGAATACATCTTGCTTTTGCTGAGTAATGCTCTAATGATCTGAGCTCTGGCAATAACCAGCTCAGATGATCACGGCTGTCTATTCCACGGGGGCAGGCCGTAGCAACAATGAGAATGAGGTTATGCTCGTAAGCGAAGGCAGGCAGCAGGGAGGGGACAG